CCAGAGCGGTAGCCACATTAGTCTGCTACAGCAACGGTTTACGAAACCTTAGAAGACTAAGGGATTTACAACACCCCACGATCTCTTTGCCCAGTGCAGCTGGGAGCACATTCTATACCAATAAAATGCATAAGGCCTTGGAGGGCCACAAGTCACCTGTAGATAATAGTTAACTGTGTACAAAAAGCTCTGGGGGTGGTATGTAGCTATTACAGCTTAGGTATCTCCTCCCCCCTACAGTGATGTACTTATAAATTTCAGCATATCCCCACTGGTAGTCTGCTGGGTGGGGAGATTAAAGGTAAGACTAAAGGTCTCACTCCATTTTGTATGACAAAAACCAGCCGATGTAAGGTTTTGTTTGTTTTTTTAAAAAAAACACCATTTACAACTCTAGCATACAGAACATCCTGGGTGAAGAATTCCAAACAGGTTTCTAAAAGCCATTGGGCAACGGCGGTGAGCAAGACTCTCCCAAGTAAGACAAAACATTTCCAAAGTGACCTTTCTTCCTTTTTCTAAGCCACAAAATTACTCAGGCAGAGGAAGACCTGCGGCCAGGGAAGGCCATTGCAAAATGCCCGGCTGGTCTAGCCACCCCCCAAAACCCTGCCAACAAGTGGCATCCTCAGTTATTTTTAATAAGATTTTTAAATAGCCTTCGCTTTGTCAACTCGCTTAGAAGGCTGACCCAAAACCAGCAAGCAGGAGCCTGGAATGGCCCGGGGAAATATTGGTCAGGGTTGCTTTCCACACTCTTTACAGCAGAGATCCCCACCCTTTTCGAGCCTGTGGGCACTTTTGGAACTCTGAGAAGGGACACTGTGTGCGCCGCCCCAAAATGACCACCACAGGGGGCGGAGCCAAACAGCATAACTCCCTCCTCACTTTGCAAAAGATCTTCAGAAGGGGAATAACAGAAACAAAGGAGAGCCCGGGAGAAAGAAAGGCGAGTAAAAAGAAGGAAAGTCTGAAGGAGAAATGTAACTACAAGCCTGGGTGCTTAGAAGAGATTGGATTTAGATCCCGCCCTTCACTACCCAAAGGAGGTCTCAAGAGCGGCTTACAATCTCCTTTCCCTCCCCCTCCCCACAACAGACACCCTGTGAGGCAGGTGGGGCAGAGAGAGCACTTTCGAGGACTGCTCTTGAGAGAACAGCTCTGAACTTGTGACTGACCCAAGGTCACGCCAGCAGCTGCATGCAGAGAAGTGGGTAATCAAACCTGATTCTCCCAGATTAGAGTCCGCCCTCCTAACCACTACACCAAACTGGCTCTTACTAGTATTACTAGTCCTCCCGATGATCCACTGGTTATGGTTCTTGCTGTTGCATCTGTGGAAAACCCGTTCATTTGAATGAGCGCTGTCACTAACAAGCCTTGCCTTACAAAGGCCCTGCCCACTCTCTGAATAGCTTAGTGGGCACCAGAAGTATTGCTGGGTGCCATGACGCCCTTGGGCACCCTGTTGGGGAACCATAGTTTAGATCAGGGATATTTTGGGGCTATTCCTTTTGAAACTGGACGAATGCCAGCCTTCCTGAGGAGGGGAGGAAACCGACATGCATCCCGATACATCGAGCTTTTTATTAATTTTTTCTTTTGAACACAGATTGCAAAATTCCGTCTCAACCACGCCCCCTCCGCCATTCCGCCACACGGAAAAAGTTGACGTGGCAGCAGTCCGTCGCAGTTTTTAGTCACTATAAAAACAATCCCAACAGGGGCTCTTCCGTCAGCCGTAGCAATGTTTCGCCAGGTCTCCGAGATCCAAGCGTACAGCATCCCTTTCATCCACAACAGCCACAAAGCAAGGTTTGGCTGGGCTCTGGAATGGAGTTAAGATCGTAAGGATGCCGTTGCTACGGGGGGTTAAGTCCATGACCGCGGCTTGGAGATACGGATGGCACGGGCTGAGAAAAGTCGCCTAAATCTCCTGTGTGAAGTCGCACCTTGTTTTCAAACTCGGGGAAACGGGATGGGGGGGAAATCAACAAAAGTCTATCCAAAAAAATTCCGAGTGGAGCTAGTTATAGTAAGCTGGACTGCACTAAAACGTCAGTTTTAAAAACAGCAAGGGAAGTCATTCTGAAGCAAGGCGGATTCCTACCCTTGCCTGAAGTCCAAGCGTCACAGGGAAAATCCAATTATAGTTTTAAAAAAAAGGAAACAAACATACAAGCAGAACAGCAGAGGGTCACGTCGGGAGAGGATAAAGTATGTTACAATCGATTCAGCCGAGTTGTCCCCTCTTCCAAAACTGAGAATGGGGGTATGTGTTCAGTGGTGGGGGAGGGATGAGGAATCCGTGGGCACTCCCCGACGACGTAAATGCTACCGCTGGTATTAGCGATTGTGTTCCGAGAAGCCTGTGGTTTTAACGTTGCTTGACAGATGAGTCCACCGCAGAAATACCGAGTTTAGAAAAGAAATAAAAAAACAGAGTCGTCCAACCTGGCAGGGGCACGGGGTATACCGCATCTCTGGAAAAGCTTGTGCAAAAGTGTCGGGGCAAGATGTATGTTTTTGCAGAGAGAGTCTTCTGTTTTCCATCGTATACATGCGTTATTGCTTGAGGGAAACGACGATGGGGAGCGGGCGTTGCCGAGGGGCAGCTACGGCGCCATCCAAAAGGGCATCTGTTGCTTAGCGCGTTGCTGCGATGATGGATACTGGTACCCCAAGTTCCATGTCTGTGAAAAACTACTTGCATTTTTGTGGCCTCCGTGGTCCTCCTCTTCGTCTGAGGAGTCGCCGGTGTAAGCCACCAGGCCGAACCCTTTCTCGTTGGTTTTCAACTTCTTTGCTGGATGCTCTAAAGCAGGAAGAAAGAGAGAGCACACGCACACAAAAAAGGACAACCCACCCCAGGTGAGGAAAATAAAAAAAGAGAGAGAAAGGTTAAAAAAATGAGGACAACAAACAATACCCCAAATATGTGCATTAAAATAAGAAACATTTTTTTAAAATTGTTAGTCGGACACCATTTTGAGGTCACAGGGCCAGCAGTCACCCCGGGAAGGAGTTCGCACGATACAGCATCGGCAACGGCATTTGTGATCCATCAGAACCATGTAAGAGAACAGAGAAGAGAGAGAAAAAAAGAAAAAAGACACAAAAAAGAAAAAAAGAAAAGGTGAAGTTAGCAAAAAACGGGCAAAGGGGTTGCAGTTTCACTCCTAAAGAACGCGCGTCAAAGGAAGAGTCCCAAATACAGTTGGATGCTGCGTCTCTTTCCTGTTCCCCTGGGGAACGTTAGGAGAACAGAGCTGCAGGATCCAACCCAGTTTTTTTTGGAGGGGGGTTTTTTAAAGAGAAAGATTTAATAAAAGGCACAGGCTGTCTCCGTACATCTGAGAAGTGCCAAACTCAGTCCACTAACCCTACAGTTTCTATTTGCATCATAAAAGTTGCCTTCTCTAACTGCAACGCTGGACTTCTTTGGAATGCTTATTTGATGCAATGGAGGGAAGTGTTCTTGGTCGGGTGGGGGAAGAGAAAACAAAATGGGAACTGCTGGGTAAGTGGACGAGGGGGGGAGGCTCAAAGGCCGTGCGCGTACAACAGACAGAAATCTAGCCTAGCTACAAAGACAGGAACTTCCAGTTAACTTTCACTTATGTAGCCTTTCTGCGTCAGCTCCTCCCTTTCCCCCTCATGTTGAGAGCTGCACTCAAAAGACGGGTGGTGCAATTCACATCTCCTGGCACAATTTTCTTCTGCATACCTGTTTGATGGAGGGAGCCGTGACTGATGAAAGCTCAAATTGAAATAAATCCTGCTGTCCTTAAGGTGGCCCTTAACTTCTGCTTTATTTTGCTATGAGAGACTAATACGGATAGACCCCTTTGCAGTCTCCAAACAGAGGGCCATTTGTTTTTATGGCCCGAGCTTCGTGGAAGAATTGCAGCATCTGGAAACACAGGTAACTGGCTGCAGCTTTTAAACACCTGAAGCTGCCTTCCGCGGAACCTGACCCTGGGTCCATCAGAGTCAGTCTTGTCTGCTCTGAGTGACAGCAGCTATCCAGGGTCTGAGAAAGACCTTGAACCTACCACACGCAAAGTATATGCTCTGCCGGTGTGCCACGGTCCCTTGCTAACCTACAGACTCTGCTGACGGGAGTGGGAGACAGCTGGTTCATGGGGATCCCTTCACCCTTTCAAATTTTAATTCCGTTTCTGCAACGCAACGGTCTTTAGCTACCCTCTGGGAAAGGTAGTGCTGTGTAGGGGTTAGAGGATACAGGAGACGGGTGGGCTCAAATTCCCCCCCTTTGTCGCAAAGTTTGCTGAACGACCTTTGGCCAGTCCCACACTCGGTCTGATCTATTTCCCAGGGCCGTTCTGAGAATGAAACCGGGGAGGGGAGATTTTGCAAGCCACCCTGAGCTCCCCCGGAAGAAGGATACAAGAACAAAATCATATTTGATAAGTGAGGCTGGCTGGTGCATTTTAAAGTGTGCTTGGCTTTTATGGCTTCCACATGTGAGTGTATACACAGCTGACCTGTCCCCAGTTTGACAAATGGTACGGAACCTGAGTAGTAAAGGATTCGCGGTTGAGAGGGGAGAGAGAGCAAGAGACTGTGTTGGGAGGCGGGTTAGAAGGCGGTGCTTCATCTCCTAACAGAACTGTCAACAAGCTATGCATTATGGAAACGAGAGACGGGACTCACACGCACAGCTCCTTGGAACTCTTGCTCTGAACTGGTTATTTAAAACGGGCCTGAAAAATACAGTTGCCAAAAGGTAAAGGAGGGGAGGAGAAAGCTGGAAGACAAAACTGCAGCCTTTGTTGTACTGTCTGGGTGGAAATCAGGGCTCACGGAGGACGGGTAACTGAACTGAACTGTGCAAAGGACAGGAGCGGGAACGCCCCGTTTGGCTTCAGACAAGGAAGTGCCCTGGAGGGGGTGGGAAGTCCACTTGTGATCAGCAGAGCCAGCTGGAGCATGAGCGCAAGCCACACCTCCTCCCCACTGCACACGCTCACCGTTGCCGCCCACTAAGGACCCGTTTCTGTCTTCGGGATCCACCTTCATCCCCGACACTGGCAAAGACGGCGGAGGCATCAGCTGCCTGTTGGGAGACGAGGATGCAGCTGTTTAATAAAGGGGCACTTCAAGCATGCAATGCACACCCTGCAGACATTTACAACCCTATTTCCAACAGTCCTGTGAGGTACGCCAAAAAACTTTTGCCTTACTGAGAACTGAAACCATCATCAGTTACCTCTGTTTATTCAGGAGGAAAGTGTTTGTAACACAGACTAAGCGTGGGCAACCTGCTTACAGCTTACAGGGACTGATGTATCTGCAGGACCGTCTCCTCTGGTATGTCCCTGGGAGAGTGTCACACTCCTTAAACAGCAATCTGCTAGTGATCCCTGGTCCCAAAGACCTCTGGCTGTCCTCAAACAGGGCCTTTTCAGCCCTGGCCCCCAACCTGGTGGAAGTCTCTGCCAAACAACATCGGGGCCCTGTGGGACCATATGCAATTCCACAGGGCCTGTAAAGTAGAGATGTTCCGCCAAGCCTTTGGTTGAGGCCAGCGACAGCTTCCATCTTGGCTGGAACCCTCCTCCTCCTCTCTTTCCATCAGATTGCCTTATTCCTCCTCCCCAGACCCAGTCCAGAATTGGGAAGAAATTGTAATTTTGCCACTTGATCTTTTTTTAAGATTGCTGGATTAGCATTATTTATGTACTCATGTTATGGTTTTAGTGTTTTTACTGTGTGTCGTATATCGCCCAGAGCCCTGCAGTAGCGGGGAATTGGGCGATTCATAAGTAATAAGAACAATAACAACAAAATAAAAAATAAAACGCAGCTTCTTAATGGGATCTCGCAAAGAGGGGGACGACACAGAAGCATCAGAGTGGAAAAGAGAATCTGGTCTATAATAAAAGGTAAAGGTTCCCTTGCTCGAAAGCCAGTCGAGTCTGACTCTAGGGTTGCGGTGCTCATCTCCGTTTCAAAGCCGAAGAGCCAGCGCTGTCCGAAGACGTTTCCGTGGTCATGTGGCCGGCATGACTAAACACCAAGGTGCACGGAACGCTGTTCCCTTCCCACCGAAGCGGTACCTATTTGTCTACTTGCAATTTCTTGCTTTCGAACTGCTAGCAAGAAATTGCAAGTAGATAAATAGGTACCACTTCGGTGATTGTCAAAATTAAACTCCCCCACTCCCCCCGCTGAAGCGACCGCCATAACCTACCTGTCCCTCTCTCTCTCCTTTCCTGAGGAACCCGCTGGCTTCGACCCTGCTCCGTCCATCTCGGCCTGACCGGAGAAGCCTGTACCTAAATTAGTCATATGAATGGGTCCATGCTATGAGCAGAAAAACACAGCAGCATTAGGAGATCTAAAACTGTGACACAAGCTATTAGCTCCTTACTGAAAACTTCTCAGGAGGCCCAGCCTCTCTCTCTCCTCTCTCTCTCTCTTTTTCCTCCTCCCCACAAAAGCGTATATTGCACAGTGTGGGTTGGGGCCCATGGATTCGTTCAACTCGTGACGACGTTTCCCCCGGCGCGAGAGGCTTGAGCGCTCTTGCACTGCCGCCAGGGGGGAATCACCACGGTTAGCGGAACAGAGATGCGGGATCCGACCCTCAGCTCCGGTTGCCAAAAACACTGTCCACTGTGTCCGCATGGGAAATAGAGAACGCGTAGCAAGCAACAGCTAGACATGCCTTGAAGTCAGTATCCTATCGCAGCTTGAGATATTCTTTCGGCAACCCTTATAGCTGTTCTGGCAGGTGGTCTATGGTCTCCCTACTGAAGAATTGGGGGAGGCTGAACCTATGGCAGCTCACAAAGGCTGTGAGCCAAATTTATGAGTTCAAGACCAAGATCCTTTGGGTAGAAAAGAGTAGCACCTTAAAGACTAGCACCTTTAAGGTAGCACCTTAAAGACTAGCAAAACTGGTGACTTTCGTGCGTCACTGCTCACTTCTTCCGATACAGCTAGAATGTGAGTCCATCTGTCCTCACATCGTGGAGAGTGGAGTGATTTGAGATGCTGAATGACAACAGCAGGCCTGACTGGATTGGGTGTGACATGCAGTGGGGTAGTGAGACAGGAAACCTAGAACTCGATTCAGTCCAGGAGGATGCATTGTCTTGAACTTCGTTATCAGTTGCAGTTCAGCAGTCTCTCTTTCTGCTACTCTTAGATCAGCAACTGAATGCATGGAAGGTTAAAATGTTCTCCCACTGGTTTTTAGGAACATAAGAACATAAGAGACGCCAATGTTGGATCAGGCCAAAGGCCCATCCAGTCCAACACTCTGTGTCACACAGTGGCCAGAAATACCAGGTCCCATCAGGAGGTCCACCAGTGGGGCCAGTTTTTGAAGAAGAGAGCAGTATATCTAAAGAAGTGAGCTACTTCTCTTGCTTTTTTTCACTGCTACAGACAGACTAAGATCCTGCCAGGTCCCTCTGAACCATTCTATTACACCAGCTCTCAAAATGTGAGAGACTTAGAACAGTTTCTAAAATTAATAAAAACAGTGTTTTATGAAGTTCTAGAAGGGTCCAAACAACTGTTGAACACAGACTTGTAAATAGCTGCTGGCCTGGCCTCTATGGTGACCAAAACGAGCCCTCGGGTAATTGGAGCATTAGTGTTACCTCTTTTCCCCCCTTTCAGGCCACCAAGTTAAGTGAGATGATATGTATCATTTACATCATGTGCTGACCCATGCAGCTCAGAGCTATCTGTATATTTTATCCCTCTTCATGGTACCCGCACAACAACAACCTTGTGAGGTAGGTTAGGCTGAGAGAAAGAGAGAGAAAGAGAGGACGACTGCTTGCCGCAAAGTCAACGAGTGAGATTCGCAGCGGAGTGAAGATCTGAACCCAAGTCTCCCTAATCCTAGTCCAAAGCTTTGACCACTACACCGCACTCTCACAAATACCGGACTATTTAACTCTGGTCCGTTTGCTTGCTAAAGTCTGATTTAATAAATTTAGCCCCTTGAGAAGGAACAAAATGGTAAATTACAGTAAAGAAATGGCAAAACAAAGCTTAGAAGTCCTTCCCACCACCTGCCCTCCCCAGGGTTTACGACATGATGCCAACCCTTGAAACTCAGAACGGAATGTGCCAATGGGAACAGTGATCCAAATGAAGAGCATGCATGTGTTTATAAAAAGAGAGGCCAGGATGGCGGAGGGGGGGGGGGAGGCCTCAGGGGACAGAGCAACAGCCCTGCACCTTGGGAACCATGGACTCACCTTTGCCACCAAGCTGCACTGCACGTGCCCTCTCTCTGGGGCCCTCCCCCTGGCATCCTTGCCATACCCCTACTGTGGCTCATGACTGACCATCAGATGGCCAATTGGGAAGGAGAGGATGTCAAAAGCTATCAAAAACATTATTTTCGTTCTTCTTCCAAACTGGCAAAAAGGTGCTCGTTGGTTTTATTTTTCAAAGTCCTCAAGGGGTTTAAAACCAAGACTGCTTTTATTTCATAGAATCATAGAACGTTCGAGTTGGAAGGGACCTTGCAGGTCATCTAGTCCAACCCCCTGCACTCTGCAGGAGCATTTATTTATTTGTCCCGCCCTTCTTCCCAAAGGTGTTCGACGCCGTCCCCCTCCGCTTATTCCCTTCACACCCTCATGGCCACCTCAGAAAGTAAACTGTTGTACGGATTTGCCAGTCCACACGGGAGAAGAGTAGGTTTTTATACCCCACCCACCCCTTTCTCTAACATAAAAAGTCTCAAAGCGGCTTACAATCGCCTTCCTTTCCTCTCCCCGGAACAAACACCCTGTGAAGTAGGTGGGGCTGAGAGAGTCCTGAGAGAACTGTGACTGGCCCAAGGTCACCCAGCAGGCAAAATGTGGAGGAGTGGGGAGTCAAACCTGGTTCTCCAGATCCGAGTCCGCTACTTTTAACCTCTATACTACACTGGCTCTCCAGTACTCCTATCCCCACAACAAGCACCTTGAGAGGGGCTGAGAGAGTTCTGAGAGAATCTGGGACTGGCCCAAGATCACGCAGCAGTCTTCATATGAAGGAGGAGTGGGGAATCCAGTTCTCCCAATTAGAGTCTGCCACTCCTAACCACTACACTGGCTGAGGGGGGGGGGGGCAGCTCATGGCCACTGGACATGATCATTTAAAGAAGAGAAGAAGAGAGAAGAGATTGGATTTATACCCCGCCCTTCACTTGGAGTCTCAGAGCGGCTTACAAACTCCTTTCCCTTCCCCTCCCCACAACAGACACCCTGTAAGGTGGGTGGGGCCGAGAGAGCTCTGTCACAAACTGCTCTTTTTCAAGGACAGCTGTGCCAGAGCTTGTGACTGACCCAAGGTCACATTAGCCCCATTTCTACATGGGAGCACTGAAACCACAAGGCTATATTTGCATGGAGAACGATTCTAATCTATATTAGCGTTTTTGAATGCATTGGAATCACAGAATGTTAGAGTTGGAAGGGACCTTGCAGGTCATCTAGTCCAACCCCCTGCACTCTGCAGGAGCATAGCTGAAAGATAGCCCTACAGCATACCCGAAACAGCCCTACAACATACCCGATTTAACTGACTGCTGTGAGTTATTTCAATTTAAGCCAACCTGCAGTGAGACCTTGCAAGGACTACTATTGGGCTTTTCTCCTTGCATAGACATCTACATGGCAAAAACAACTGGAAAAATGCTACCTACTTGAAACCTGAGACTTTGGAAAGCCGCTGCCAGTCTGAATAGACAATACTGGCTTTGATGGGACCAGTGGTCTCCCCTTCACTACCATGTGTGGTTCTGGGCTAATGAAATCAGGAAACGCTTCCTGAGGAACTGCACAGGACCCTATAAGGCAGCCGATCTCTCACTGAGAAGGCAGGTTTCTCAAGAAGACAACTGAGCTTGCAGAGATTATTCTTCCACTGACGCCCGGTACGAACCATCCAGCCTGCATCTTTGCCAGAACTGGTGGGGCAAGGCATTCCAGCCAACGGCTTCCAGACCCACAAGAGGAAAGCTAAGCCTCTGAAATTAGGAAAACCCACTTCTACAGCCTCCAAACCACCCTGGTTTGTAACGTCCCAGAAGCAGGCGTGGAATTAAGCGCTCTCCCCAACACCCCCAGGAAAAAAGGGAACAGGGGAAGGGAGGAAGAGAAAGCGATGAGGCCACTGCACCTGGTATCCCAGCAGCCCGGATTCCCGCTCATCTGGCAGCTCTTCGGTGAAACGCCTCTTTTGGCCCTGCTGGGACTGCGGCTGAACCTGCGGCTGCGTGCCGGCTGGCAGGGTCGTTTTCACGGGGGCGGCCGGAAGGAACGGGGTGCTCAGAGGAGTCTGGAAGGCGCACCGTGCAAAAAGCGAGAGTTATTTGGGGAGATCTGAAAACAGATTTTGAGACCAAGCACGCGTACACACGGTGTGGACCCCGGATCCAAGGGGAGCTCTGCAGCAGAAGAGAACTGGAGGTGGGACAGTGGTGGAAAAAGGACTTCCCCCCATGCTATCAACAAGACCCTTTAAACTGGAGGTGCCGGGGATTGAACTGGAAACCTTTCGCCTGCGATGCGTGTGCTAGTTCCTTGTCCAAGCCGGTTTTGCCTTTTTCCGCCCCAGTTCCTGAAGAACCTACTGCCAGCCAACAACGTATTTATGACGCAGGGGCCATGGCTGAGTGGCAGAGCACCTGCTTGGCATCCAGAAGGCCCCCGGGGTTCAATCCCCGGCACCTCCAGTTACAAAGACCAGGCAGCAGGTGATGTGAAAGGCCTCTGCCTGAGACCCTGGAAGAGCCACTGCCAGTCTGAGAAGACAAGACTGACCTAGACAGACCAGGGGTTGGATTCGGTATGAGGAGGCTTTATTTGTATGAGTGGTCTCTCCCCATAACGGGGACTCAAAAGCAGCTCAGAACATCATTCTCGCTGCCTCCGCTCTCTCGCAAGAGCAGCTTTAATGCGACAGGCCGGGCTGAGAGTGTGATGGATTCAAGGTCGCCCAGCGAGCTTCCACAGTAGGACTGGGGATTCAAACCCAGCGTTCTCGTCTGCTGTTCTGTCCAGTCCACCACACAGGCTCTCAGAAAGTGCAGTAGACCAAAGGTCCGAGTCGGCATAAGGCAGCGGTGTTCCTTCAAATGCCCTCCTTTGAATGGGTTGCGTTAAGAGGTCTGCACAAGCTGTGACCCGCCAAGCCAAACACAGCCCACGGGACACAGGCAGTGACCTCCCAAGAATGAGCAAGTCCCCTTTTCTTTAACTGCCTGGCCAACACAGCACTGGGGAGACCCCTCTCTGGTGTCTGAGGAGATGGTCTTTGGCAATGTTCCCTCTAAGCTGTGGAGTCTTGTGAGCAAAATTTCTACTTTGTGAGCTGCTGGCATTAAAATTGTGAGCAAATGATTTGGCTACTGCATAAATTAGCTTGCTCTGGACTCATCCTCCCTGAGCTAAGACACAAATCTGTGAGCTGGAGGCTAAAATTCTGTGAGCTAGCTCACACTAACTCAGCTTAGAGGGAACACTGGTCTTTGCTACAGCAAGTCATGTGGGCCTGGATGAAGTCAATGCTTGTTAAATTTCTAAAAGGGTGACACTGTACATTTGCCAGCTGCATGCTCCTTATTTCAAACGTCTTGTTCACCCTAGGGTTGCAGGAGGGAGCAGGAGGGAGGCCCAGCCGACATTGCAGCAATGACTGCCCACATGGCCCGGAAGTGAAGTCATCATGTCAGGGACATTGGAGTGACACTCTGGTATTCGGGCAAAAACTCTATGGTAAATTTCGCTTCTACCATAGAGTTTTTGACCGAATGCCAGAGCGTCACCCCAACGTGATGCTATCACTTCCAAGTCACATGGGCAATGGTGCAGACATGTTGCTGCACTTTCAGGTTAAGCCAACCTGCAGTGAGACCTAACAAGGACTACTATTGGGCTTTTCTCCTTGCATATAAATCTACATTACGAAAATAACTTTGGGTAAGTTCCCCCCACCGGCTAGCTGATCAGCAGTGAGGCCTGGCAGCGGGGGACCCCTCTCTCCAACAGGGGGTCTTCATCCTCTTTTGAGTACCCAAAGTTTGACAGGCAGGCTCCCTTTGCACAACACATACCAATCCACAGGGCAGAACAATACTCTGCTGTCTTCTGTTAGGTCCTACTGGAACTGTTATTTTATAAACTAAACTTTTTATTTTTTAATGCAGTGGTTCCAACAGGCAGAATGTCTCACCCAGAGATGAGAATGGGACAAGGCTCCACCGAACACTCATCCAGGTCCCCAAATACGTACAAATCCTTCAAGAGGAAGCTTCTCCTATCCCCCCGCCCATCAACCCAAGGGGCGCCGAAGCCCGCTCCCCCAACCCTGGTTTCCCCTATTCCTGTAACAAAAATTCACCATTGTTTGCAATTTTATACAGCATTCAAAGGGCCTTCCAAAACCCACAGACATGACAAACTGGCAACACAACACACATGCACACAGTAGCAGTCTGACCCCCGATCCCACCCCGAAAGGGAAACCTCCTTTGGATTAGGGCGTTTAGCAGCCACAGAACAAGGTCGTCTTCTGCCTTACCTGGCCGGTGCTAGCCGGAGGCTGCACTTGCGTGATCGGGTACTGGGTGGGCACGGGTGGGACTCCGGTGGGCAGCGCCAGCACGCCCGGCGCCAGGGGGACCGCGGGAGGCACGATGCCCGGTACGCCGTAGGGGGGCTGAACAGGCTGCTGAGGCGGTGGAACCACGGGGTAGCCGGCCTGGAAGCCATTTGGCGGGTAATACGGCGGCGGGGGGGGGGGGGGGGTGGGGGGGGGGCGCGGGACCCGGGGGGGGGGGGGAAGTCAACAGGGAACAGATCAGAACAGATTATACCGGTTTTCATACTTCTTTCTCTAAAACAAAACGCACCCATAAAAACAGTGTCTTTTCCCCCCACCCAAGGGATTTACACAGCGCCATCTCCTCCCCCACACTTATTTATTTATTATTTACTTTTATGTAGAGAAGAAGAAGAAGAAGAGATTGGATTTATACCCCGCCCTTCACTTGGAGTCTCAGAGCGGCTGACAAACTCCTTTCCCTTCCCCTCCCCACAACAGACACCCTGTGAGCTGGGTGGGGCTGAGAAAGCTCTGACACCAATTGCTCTTTTTCAAGGACAGCTGTGCCAGAGTTTGTGACTGACCCAAGGTCACATCAGCAGGTGCAAGTGGAGGAGTGGGGAATCAAACCCGGTTCTCCCACATTAGAGTCCGCGCACTTAACCACTACCCCAAACTGGCTCTCTTAATGTGCCTTTCTGTCCTACTGGTCTGGGACCCAAAGCACCTGACACCCTTCTCTTCGCCTCCACTTTATCCTCACAACAACCCCGTGAGGTAGGTTAAGCTGAGAGTGTGCGGCAGGCCCAAGGTCACTCCATGAGCTGCCAGAGCACGAGTGGGGATTCGAACCTGGGTTTCGCAGCTCGTAGTCTGGAACTTTCACCATCACACCATGCCGGCTCAAACCTCAAATTGCTCCTCCAAACCCACCTTGTTCATGATGCTCTCACTTTAAACCCTGTACTATTTATGCTGCTCTGGCCTAGATGGCCCGATTTCAGAAGCTAAGCAGGGTCAGCTTTGGTTAGCATTTGGGTGGGAGACCTCCAAGGAATTCCAAGGTCGCTACGCAAAGGATGATAATGACAAACGACTACTTCTAGTCTCTTGCCTTGAGAAGCCTATGGGGCTGCCAGACGTCAGCTGCAACTTGATGGCAACTATACACACACACACCTTATCTTATTTTTTTATTTATATCCAACTTTTCTCCCCATTGAGGACCCAATCACATTAAGAGAAGCTATACTGGATCAGGCTAATAGCCCATCCAGTCTAACACTCTGTGTCACACAGTGGCCAAAACCCCAGCTGCCGTCAGGAGGTCCACCAGCGGGGCCAGAACTCCAGAAGCCCTCCCACTGTTGCCCCTCCCAAGCACCAAAAACATAAGAGAAGCCATGTTGGATCAGGCCAATGTGCCATCCAGTCTAACGCTCTGTGTCACACAGTGGCCAAAAACCCAGCTGCCGTCAGGCGGTCCACCAAGCGGGGCCAGAACTCCAGAAGCCCTCCCACTGTTGCCCCTCCCAAGCACCAAAAACATAGGAGAAGCCATGTTGGATCAGGCCAATGGCCCATCCAGTCTAACACTCTGTGTCACACAGTGGCCGAAAATACCAGGTGCCATCAGGAGGTCCACCAGTGGGGCCAGAACTCCAGAAGCCCTCCCACTGTGGCCCCCCTCCCAGCACCAAGAAGACAGAGCATCACTGCCCCAGAGAGAGTGTTCCATCTACTCCTTGTGGCTAACAGCCACTCATGGACCTCTGCTCCACTGTAGCTGTCTATGCTTGTAGCCACCACCACTTCCTGTGGCAGTGAATTCCACGTGTTAATCACTCTTTGGGTGAAGAAGTACTTCCTTTTATCTGTTCTAAGCCTACCGCTCTTTCATTTCAGTGAGGGCCCACGAGTTCTTGTATTGTAAGAAAGGGTGAAAAGTACTTCTTTCTCTACCTTCTCTATCCCATGCATAACTTTGAAAACGTCTATCATGTCACCTCTCAATCGTCATTTCTCCAAGCTAAAAAGTCCTAACCTCTTTAACCTTTTTCACAGGGAAGATGTCCATCCCCTTAATCACTTTAGTTGCCTTTTTCGACACCTTTTCCAATGCAGTAATATCTTTGACGTGTGGTGAACAGAACTAAACACAGTAATCCAAATGACACCGCACCATAGATTTATACAGAGGCATTGTGATAGTGGCTGACTTCTTTTCAATTCCCTTCCTAATAATCCCCAGCATAGCCATTTGCCATTTCTATTGCAGTCGCACATCTGAGTTAACATTGTATTCCTTTCCTCCGTGCGACCCTCGCAACAACCACCCTGCAAGGTAAAGTTAGGTTGAGAGGCTACGACAGGCTCAAGGTTACCTGGTGAGTTTCCCCAGCGGAACAGGGACACACAAACCCAATTGTCCCTGGTCCCAGTCCAACACTTAACCGCCACTCCATTCTGGCCTTTAGCCTTTGACACCTCTCCCACTCGATGGAATGATAAGCAAATGCGACATACTGCAGATACAGACCTGTTAAGGGCACTGCCGTGGTTATTTGGTTCACGAATCGTGAGTATTCAGCATGAACCTTGGGAAAGACCAAGAAGATACGATATGTAAGGGTTGACGGGCCTGATTCAGCAGATTCCTGTTTTAAATGTAAGACTGTGAGGCCCTGGTTAGGTATTTTATTTATGGATGTTATTTATAGCCCCGCCTTTCTAACTTGGGACTCAAGGGCCAATTACACGGAGCCGATACCATTGACAGATGGGACATTCCGTAAACAACGCAATGGGATTTGGGTTGTGGGACCAACCAGAAGTCTGAAAACAGAACTGAGGCAAAGCATTACGTAGTAACGTGACACATTAAATGATGCAAAATTCCATAGCAGCATCCTCGTTTCAGCAAGCTAAACAGACTCGTATAGACCACATCCCGTGACAACTTTTTCGAAGCAACTTTGTGAGTCATTTAGTACAGTGCAGCTCTATCGCCTGTGTAGAAAAGCCCTCTTGAAAAATTTAGTTTTGCATATAGATCCAGGTGGGGTAGCCCTGTTGGTCTGAAGCAGCGGGACAAAGTCAGTCCAGAGGCACCTTTAAGACCGACCAGGGCTTTTTTTGTAGAAAAAGCCCAGCAGGAACTCATTAGCATAATAGGCCACACCCCTGACAGCACAACTCATTAGCATATTAGGCCGCACCCACATGTTACCAGAAGTCTGGTCATCCAGCCACACCAACCTTTTGCTTCTTATTTTGTTTACCTTGTTTGTTGTCAAAACCCAGAGCTTTTTTTGTAGCAGGGACTCCTTTGCATGTTAGGCCACACACCCCTAATGTAGCCAATCCTAATGAGTTTCTGCTGTTGGGTGTGGCCTATTATGCTAATGAGTTCCTGCTGGGCGTGGCCAACTCAGGAGCCAGCCGGAACTCCGTTCCTGTGCGTTCCTGCCCAAAAATAGCCCTGAGACCGACAAAGCTTTATTCTGGGTATAGGAAAAACAGGGCACACCAAAGAAAATTATTCTTCTATATCTTTAACACACTTAGTTGTATTATTATAACAAATTTCCTGTATTAACTAGCATTCACTCATTATACATGAAGTACATTTCATGAACATAAGCCAAGCCAGTAAATGATAATAGTGGTACAACACAAAACAATACAAAATCTTGATGTAGTTATTCTTGGACATTGTTTTGGCTGAGCCGGGTATAAGCTTTTGTGTGTGTGCACACTTCTTCAGATATGACGAAATGGAAGCTGCCAATCCGCATACATAGGTAAAGGGTGAGCAGCAAATTGGCATACAGCTTAAGAAAGTCGTATGACGAGTGCACGGTTTGTGGAAAGGCACGCGTATCAGTGGCATGTGAGTGAATTACTGAATAATTCCTCATGCATTCTACAATGTCTTTTCGGGGGGGGGGGGGCGCCTTGAATTTCATGTATCCAAAACAAAACAGGAGTCCAGCGACACCTCAGAGCAGGGTCCCCTCAAACCTTTCGAGCCTGTGGGCACCTTTGGGATTCTGGCACAGGGCAGTGGGCGCTGGGCACAAAAGGGCAGCTGCAGGAGGCGGAACCAACCACAAATCGCCAGGGAGCGAAATTTTGCATCGTTTCCGTAGCGAGTCTTCAACATTTCAGGCAGCAGCTCTGTTTAAAACAATGCTGTTTAATCCGCACAGCCAACCGGAAGCCCTGCTGGGTGAAAGCCCCATGTAGCCCCTCCCACTTTCTAAAAGCACTTGGTGGGTCACGGTGCTCGCAAGGCACCACATGGGGGGGGCCCCTGCCTTAGAACCTAACACCATTTATGCCAGCCTAAGCTTTCTTGGGTCAGAGCTCACTTCCTCAGATACTCATTAGAAGACCATTTAGGATTATTTATAAGGAAATGACAGAAGGGGGGGGTTGGCCCCTTGCAATCGTTACTTCCTTATAAAAATCTCTGAAATAACTTCCTTCTAATGAACATCTAAAGAAGTGAGCTCTGACTCACAAAAGCTCACACCGGAATAACTATTAGTCTTTAAGGTGCTGATGGACGCCTGTTTTATTTTGCTACAACAGACTAACATGGCTACCCCTCTGGAATCTTCAACAATCACTTAGCCCATTCAGTGGAAGTAGGGGGATGTTTGTGCCCCCCCCAAAAAATCTTCACAAAGAAGAACAGATTGGATTCATACCCTGCCATTCACTACCTGAAGGCGTCTCAGAGCGCTTCACAATCTCCTTTCCCTTCCCCTCCCCACAACAGACACCCTGTGAGGTAGGAGGGGCTGAGAGAGCTCTCTCAAGAACTGCTCATGAGACAACAGCTCTGAGAGAACTTGTGACTGACCCAAGGTCACACCAGCAGCTGCATGTGAAGTAGTGGGAATAAAACCCAGTTCTCTCAGATTAGAGTCCACGCTCCTAACCACTATTCCAAACTGGCTCTCACGCCAATCTGGCTCTCCGCATGGCAACAAAAGCATATGCCCAACCCTCCAACCCGTCTGGGCTTCAGAGTAATTTATTTCCTTGTCTCAAAAAAGCTTACGAGTTATGCAGACGCACACAGGACCAGCACAGTATATAACTATGTCAGAAGAGGCAAAGCTCTTCATACGGGCAAGTTTGGACAGGAGGAGGATTTAAGGTTTCCCATTTGAGCAAGACAGTGCAAAAATCAGAAAACAGGGATTACTTACGGTTTGCAGTAGATTTTCACACAGTTTTTTGGCAGCTGCGAGACCTTCTGGTTTTGGATGGCTGGAGGGGGGAAAAAGATAAAACAAGTGGGTGCCAGCGTGAAAATTTTGCACAAAACCTCAGCCCCTGGCATATCTGGCTCAGGGTTATCTGCTTTGATGGAAGAGAAGGTGGCATGGTCTCTAGCCTGACCTTGTCAGTTCTCAGAAGCCAAGCAGGGTCAATACTTGGAAGGGAGACCACCAAGGAAGGCTCTGCAGAGGAAGGCTGTGGCACACCACCTCTGCCTCCCACTTGCCTTGAAAACTCCTTGCTGGGGTCGCCGCAAGTCACCTGCGATTTGATGGCACTTGACAGATGCGTCGACTCTGACCAGCAAAGGTTCTCAAGCAGTGAGGTCTTTCTCAATACCTACTCGTTTGAGATGCCAGGGACTGAACGTGTGATCTTCCGCATCCAAATCATGACCCACGCTCCTCGGGAACTTGGTTGCCCTGTCTTCAGGGCGCTTCCCATGTGAGAACTAGCACCCAAACGATACATTCTGTGGTGCTTCTCTAAAGTTCACGTAAAGCCAGCTGTTTCAAAGCAGTCTCAACCCAGCCTGAAATAACCTTTCTGTGCTCTCAGGTATGGCTGTCACGCAGTCAAAGTCATGGCCCTGGCTTTGGAAGAAGTCTTAAAATGCCCTCTAGTCCAACTGCCCCCTAACTCGATGCAGAAATCCAAAGTTAGAGGGTTCCAGAAAGACAGCCGTCCAACCCCAGCTTGAAGATCCTCGGTGCAGGACAGACCACCATCCCTCTAGGTCGTTGCTTCCTGGCTGAACCTCTCTTGCTGTTAGAAAGTTTCTCCTAAGGTTCATCCAAAATCTAGTTATCTGTAACTTAAGCGTGTGGGACAGCCCTTTAGTCATTTAGTGCCACAACTGACTCATTTTCCTCTTCTTCCCCATCTTTTCCTGCTATGTCAGATTGCAAGCTGCTACTTTATACTGTATACTGTCAGCAGGAGGGGAGTATGCACGCAATGCATAAGGGACAGCCAGTGAAATGCAGTGGTTAAGAGTGTCAACCTAGGATCTGATAACAAAATGCACAGGAATCCATTAGAGAAGAAGAAAAGATTGGATTTATACTCCGCTCTTCACTCGGAGTCTCAGAGCGGCTTTCCCTTCCTGTCCCCACAACAGACACCTTATTTATTTATTTATTATTTATTTATTTTTGCGATTTCTATGCCGCCCTACCCAGTGGCTCAGGGCGGCTAACAACGTTTAAAATAGTAAAACAATAAAACAATTATATATACAATAAAACTGGTGCTTCGAATCTATACAGATCTACACATTATATAAGATGCTCGGCGGCTCATATTTGCGGCCCACAACTCAATGGTGGAAGCGTCACAGCGCTCCATGGAATCTGGTAGGAGGACGGCACATCAAGATGGTATAGCGATGGTGGTGGCGGCGGCTCCTACCCGAAGGCCTGGTGGAAGAGCTCCGTCTTGCAGGCCCTGCGGAACTGCACTAGGTCCCGCAGGGCCTGGATCTCCTCCGGGAGCTCATTCCACCAGGAAGGAGCCTCCACCGAAAACGCCCTAGATCTAGTACAGGCCAACCTCACCATTCGGGGGGCTGGAACTTCCAACCGGTGAAGCCTCCCCGATCTCAGTGCTCTTGAGGGAACATACGGGAAGAGGCGGTCCCTTAGATAGGCAGGACCCAGGCCATTCAGGGCTTTAAAGGTAAGCACCAGCACTTTGAAGCGAATCCGGTATGCTATAGGCAGCCAGTGCAGCGCTTGCAGCACAGGCTGGATGTGGTCTCGCCTGGAAAGACCCATCAACAGCCTGGCTGCAGCATTCTGCACTAGCTGCAGCTTCCGGATTTGCGACAGAGGCAGCCCCAAGTAGAGAGCGTTACAGTAGTCCAGCCTCGAGGTGACCGTCGCATGGATCACAGTGGCCAGGTCATCCCGGTCAAGGTAGGGAGCCAACTGCCGCGCCAGCCGCAGATGATAGAAGGCTGACTTGGCAGTGGCCGCCACCTGGGCCTCCATCGTTAACGAGGAGTCCAGGAGCACACCCAAACTCCTAACCTCCCGCATGGGCACCAACGGTACCCCACCGAAGGCCGGGAGAGGGTGCCCCAACTCATGACCGATCCGACACAGGCCCAGGACCTCCGTCTTTGTTGGGTTTAATTTCAACCGACTCAGTCTGAGCCAACCAGCCACGGCCTGCAATGCCCGTGCTAGGTCATCGGGGGTGGAGTCCGACTGGCCGCCCAACATCAGGTAGAGCTGGGTTTCATCAGCATATTGATGACACCCAAGCCCACATCTCCGGGCAATCTGGGCGAGGGGGCGCATGTAGATGTTAAACAACATTGGGGACAACACGGCTCCTTGGGGCACTCCACATTCAAGGGGGTGCCTTCGGGACCGCTGATCCCCTATCGCCACCCTCTGTCCCCAACCTTGGAGAAAAGAGGTAAGCCATTGAAGGGCAAGTCCCTGAATTCCCACATCGGCGAGGCGGCGGGCCAGCAACTGGTGGTCGACCATATCGAATGCAGCCGACAGATCTAACAACACCAGTGCCGCCACACACACCTTGTGAGGTAGGTGAGGCTGAGAGAGCTCTTTTGAGGACTACCCTTAAGAGAACAGCTCCGAGAGAGCTGTGGACTGACCCAAGGTCATGCCAGCAGCTGCATGTGGAGGAGTGGGGGATCAAACCCGGCTCTCCCAGATTAGAGTCCACTGCTCCTAACCACTAGACCAAACTGGCTTTGAATAAAGAGCTGAGTAAACTCTTCACCTTGCTCTCTCTGGTTCTTTAGGATCTGACAGACCCGGGTTCAGATTCCTGCTCTGCCATGGAATTCTGCGGGGTGACCTTAGGCCAGTCACTCCTTCTCAGCCTAACCTACCTCACAGGGTTGCTGTGGGAATAAAACGGAAGAGAGGAAAACGATATAAGCCACTTTGGGTCCTCAACAGGGAGGAAGGTGGGGTATAAATGCAGTAAATAAATAATATACCTTGCAGCTCTTCTCTTACGGAAGCATACATCACAACCAGTGTTCCCTCTAAGCTGAGTTAGTATGAGCTAGCTCACAATTTTTTAGCCTCCGGCTCACACATTTTTGTCTTAGCTCAGGAAGGATGGCTCCAGAGCAAATTAATTTATGCAGTAGCCAAGTGGCTCGCTCACAACTTTAATGCCACTAGCTCACAAAGTACAATTTTTGCTCACAAGACTCCACATCTTAGAGGGAACATTGATCACAACTATCATGTGTGCTAGTAAAAGAGTGAGGTATCTGAAGAAGGGAAGCAGTGTCTTACGGAAGCTCCTAGCCTGCCACAAATTTTGTTAGTCTTTAAGGTGCTACTGGACTCTAGCTCTTTTTTACTGTACAGACAGACTAACGCGGCCTTGGGAATGTTTAGTTTGGAGAAGAGGAGACTGAGGGGGGGACACGATGGCTCTCTTTAAATATTTGAAAGGATGTCATTTGGAGGACGGCAAGGAGCTGTTCCAGGTGGCGGCAGAGGATAGGATCCGAAGCAACGGGTTTAAATTACATGCAGAAAGGTATCAGCTGGATATTAGGAAACACTTTTTCACGGTCAGAGTGGTTCAAAGGTGGAATCGGCTGCCTAGGGAGGTGGTGGGCTCCCCTTCACTGACAGCTTTCAAGAAGAGGCTGGACGAATATTTGTCAGGGATGCTCTAGGCTGGTCCTGAATTGGGCAGGGGGTTGGACTAGACTGTGTGGCCCCTTCCAACTCTATGATTCTATGACGATCTATCTTGATCTATCTCCATGGAAGACACCAGATTTAGCCGTACAGAATGGAAATCCGTCAGGGTATCTGAAGAAGTGAGCCGTGACTCATAAAAGCGCCTTCCCCTGCCACAAATTTTGTTAGCCCTTAAGCTGCTACTGGGCTCTTGCTCTTTTCCTGCTGCTACAGACAGACTGACGCCGCCACCCATCTTGACCTATCATGTGATTGGTCAGCTAATGATGTGTGATGTTGGGCCCTGGGGCTAGAGGAACCGGAGTTCAAGTCCTCGCTCAGCTGCAAAGCTCATCAACTTGGACTAACCGACCTTAGAAGACCGCTGGCAGAACGGGAGATTCCGCACTGAGGATCTTGGAGGAAGGGCAGGACAAGAATGTGACAAGGGTTAAAGGAAAGCGGCAGCTCCTGACCCAACCCAACTCCCCCTTACCTGATGTAAATGTACATCGGCTCGAAGGCTTCCCGGCCTGAGGCGGGCTCGATGCACCCAGACCCTTTCCCACGCAGGAAAACCTTGGCGCCGGTCTCAATCTGGATGTGCTGCAAGTAGGAACAGCCCGGGCCTTCGACCTTCTCCTTGACGCTGAAGGTCGGCACGGCGTGTTCCAGACCCACAAACAACTTGTCCTGGACATAATGCATCTGTGGGCACAGAGGAGGGCTGTCAGTGCTGCACGTCTCCCACGAGCAGTGCAAGGACCGGGGGCAGGGGAGGCACACGGCACCCTCGGAGATCTCTCTGCTGAAACCTCCACAATTAAAAAAAAACCCCACAGAAACAGACACCACATCATTCTTTTAGGTGGGGACAAGATAAAACACCACAGACACGGAGCTGCCTTCTGCTGAGTCAGACTGTCTATCAAGGTCACGCAGGGCTATTTTTGGGCAGGAACGCACAGGAACGGAGTTCCGGCTGGCTTCAGAGTTGGCCACGCCCACTACAGCCAAAACCTCTGTGTGCCTGGCTACAGGGGGAAGGCCTGGAGAGTGACCCTCCCCCCCGGTGACTCTGAGGCAGGTGGGCTGGGGGGGTGCTGCTGGAAGGATCAGGGAGGCATTTAAATGCCTCCCCATGCCTTCCCCGGCCTGCCCAAGGGCTGGCTTCCCCGGGTTCCCCGCAGCCACAGGGTGCCTGGGCAAGCCAAAGGAAGGAAGTTTAAACTGCCTCCCATCCCCTCCAAGGGCGGGCTTGCCCGGGCAAACCAAGGAAAGGCATGGGGGGTGTGGCCTAATATGCTAATGAGGTTTTGCTATTGGGTGTGGCCTATTATGCTAATGAGTTCCTGCTGGGCTTTTTCTACAAAAAAAAGCCCTGAAGGTCAGTATTGTTGACTCTGAAGCGGTAGCAGCTCTACAGGGTCTCAGGCGGAGGTCTTTCACATCACTTCCTACCCGGTCCTTTCAGCTGGAGGCCCCAGTGATTGAACCTGGGACTTTTGGGCAGATCGTGAGAGGGAGGGCAGGAAGGGATGAGCCAGTGCTCGGATCTCATGGCTCTTTCTTGTATGCCCAGGGAAATGCGGATCTCCACTTTGGGGTCAGGAAGGAATTTTCCTCCAGGCCAGATTGGAGGGATCCTGGAGGGTTTTTTGTTTTTTTTTTGTCTTCCTCTGGGGTCACTGACGGAGTGTGGGTGGGTGGGGGAACTGTGAATTCCCTGCATTGTGGAGGAGTTGGACTAGATGACCCTTGGGATCCCTTCCAGCTCTATTTTTCTATGTTTCTGCATGCCAAGCAGAGGCTCTGCCACTGAGCCACAGCCTGTCCCCTGCCACCTCCAAGCCACGGGAAGAACATTCTTGCCCCCAAAACAAAGTCCTAGCAAGATGCTGATCGTGGCACCCTCAGCAGAATTTACAGGGTCTTTGGTCTGATTCTGGATTAAGTTACACACACCTGAGAAAGAAGAGGAAGAGGAGGAGATTGGATTTATACCCTGCTTTCACTACCTGAAGGAGTCTCAGAGTGGATTACAATCTCCTTTCCCCCCCCCCCAACAGACACCCTGTGAGGTAGGTGGGGCTGAGAGAGATCTTATAGGTGGGACTGAGGGAGCTCTGAGAGAACTGTGACTGGCCCAAGATCACTCAGCAGGCTTCATATGGAGGAGGCAGGAATCAAACCCAGTTCTCCCAGATTAGAGTCCTAGCACACTTGTCCCCCTCGTCACCCTGTGAGGTAGGTGGGGCCGAGAGAGTGCTTTCGAGAACTGCTCACGAGAGAACAGCTCTGAAAGAACTTGCGACTGACCCAAGGTCACACCAGCACCTGTATGTGGAGGAGTGGGGAATGAAACCCAGTTCTCCCAGATTAGAGTCCGTGCTCCTAACCACTACACCAAACTGGCTGGAAAGAATGGGTTTGCTCATCTACAGCTTAAGGGTGAAGGCCAAGACGAGGGGGACAAGTGTGCTAGAACTGCGGGGAAGGCAAGAGCCTTGCTGCATTAAGATGGGCGAACAAACAGAATGTCAGGAAATCAGGGCTCTTCCTTCGCCCCTATTGTCAGCCCTCCAATTCGCCCAGAGAGAAGGACACGAACGGTTGTCGGATGATACAGTGAGGCCCCGGCTCTGCTGCAAGCTGAGCCCCCTCTCTCCACCGCGTTACTCTAAGAGGATGGTATCGGCAGAGCCTTGGCTCAACAGGCTCTGCCTTCTTAGTCCTCTAGGTGCAGAAATCATACAGACATAGCCACAGGAAAAAAAGCTTTCGGGAGGATACAATAATTGGCAAGTACTATAGAACTGTGAGAAGACAAGAGTCTCTGGGAACGGCAATAATGCTAGGAAAAGTTGGAAGGCGGTAGGAAACGAGGAAGACCACACAGGAGATGGATGGACTTAATCGAGGAAGCCACAAAGGCCCTCCATTTTCAAGATATGAGCAAAGGCTGTTAATGACAGGATATTTTGGAGGATGTTAATTCATAGGGTCACCATGAAATAGAACTGATTTGATGGAGCTTAACATGTGGGGGGGGAGAGGGAGAGAGAGAGGGAGAGGGGGGGGAGAGGGGGAGGTCAGGGAATTAGGTTATGCATAAATAACAGTAACTCTTCAAGCAGAAGGCCTGTTTAACAGGACGCCTTTTAAAACGACCATACTGTTTAAAAATATTTCCTTGCATATACACAGCTTCCCTTTGGTCATTCAGTGGGAATCCTTGGGGTGGCAGCTGCCGCCAAAGCAATGTTTCTAAAGATCTGCACAGCCGATTGGATCTCCAACGGCCAATCAGAAGGCCTGCTGGCGAACAGCCCAACCCACATTCTGAACACTCTTGGCAGGTGCCAGAAAAGGTGTTGCTAGGCCCCACGGCACCCATAAGTGTCACGCTGGGGACTCCTGGCCTAGATTGTTCATTTCTATCCACACACACACTCACACACCCCAAGAAAATCCAGCAAATCATTCTACAATACGTACCCCTCCGGACTGGAATGGAGGCTTCTGTCCCACGGCTGGGGGCAGCTGAGTGATGGGGGCGGGCTGGTGGTAGACGGTAACGGTGGCGCCATTGAAAGTGGGGCTGGACCCCGTAGCCGCTTTGACCACGCCGTTCGTGATGATCTCTTTAATTCGGTTGACAGCTCCTGCGGGCAAAGACTCACTTTTCAGGTTGCGAATTTTAAGGAACACCAGAAGGCACGGGAAGTTAGGCCGCGAATTTCACACAAGCCTGACTCGCCAAGGGTAACGTAGACAACTGGGGGGGGGGGGGCAGCATCTCCCCTAGTCAGGCCTGGGTTCTGCTCCAACTGAGATGCTCCCTCCCCAGCTCCTTTATTCCTTTCAGACGTTTAAATCCCATTTTTCTCCTGATCAACCAGGACCTGAAGCAGCCACTACTGACAGAGCCACTGGAGGGAAGGCGAGCGGCAGCCAGCCACCCCTTCGGTCACACCTGGACTGAGGTGAATTCAACAGAAGAAGAAGAGAGAGAAGAAGAGATTGGATTTATACCCCGCCCTTCACTACCCAAAGGTGTCTCAGAGCTGCTTACAAACTCCTTCCCCTTCCCCTCCCCACCACAGACACCCTGTGAGGTAAAAGAAGAAGAGGAGGAGATTGGATTTATCCTTCGCCCTTCACTACCCAAGGGAGTCTCAGAGCGGCTTACAAACTCCTTCCCCTTCCCCTCCCCACCACAGACACCCTGTGAGGTAAAAGAGAAGAGATTGGATTTATACCCCGCCCTTCACTACCCAAGGGAGTCTCAGAGCGGCTTACAAACTCCTTCCCCTTCTCCTCCCCACCACAGACACCCTGTGAGGTAAAAGAAGAAGAGAAGAGGTTGGATTTATACCCCGCCCTTCACTACCGAAAGGTGTCTCAGAGCGGCTTACAAACTCCTTCCCCTTCCCCTCCCCACCACAGACACCCTGTGAGGTAAAAGAAGAAGAGAAGAGATTGGATTTATACCCCGCCCTTCACTACCCAAAGGTGTCTCAGAGCGGCTTACAAACTCCTTTTCCCTTCCCCTCCCCACAACAGACGCCCTGTGAGGTAGGTGGGGCTGAGAGAGCTCTTGACAGAAACTGCTCTTTTTCAAGAACAGCTCTTATCAGAACTATGACTTGCCCAAGGTCATCCAGCCAGGTGCAAGTGGAGGAGTGGGGGAATCAAACCTGGTTCTCCCAGATTAGAATCCGTGCACTTAACCATGACACCAAACTGGCTCTCGGTGCATATCAATAGTACCATCTGTAGGCAAGGTGCACTTGGTCTCGTTTCCACAGGGGAATCCCATTACTCTTTAAAGTCTCAAAATACTTGTTTAACCTTAGCAGTTCCAAGATAAAGACGAGCAATTATGCGCGCGAGATTAAATGCGCTACCATCTGCAATCTCTGCAGGCTGTAAATTAGGTATATCGTTTTCAGAAAAGAAACGGCAGTTGTGTTTTAGGGATTACAGAAAGTGTGAAGTGTGGTCTGTTTGAATATCTGTCGTATCAGGAGGCTAGAGAGAAATCGTTCAAGAGAAACGAGCTTTCCTTACGTATTTTAGTTATTAAACTTTTAATGGCTTCCAGGCCAGTAATAATTTGTTTCTTAGCTAAATTCCTTGTTCAGGCCTTGAGAGTTTTGGCAGCTTGTGACAAGAATCTTCTCTAATATAGTATAGCCCAGGGGTGGCCAAACTTGCGTAACGTAATGGCCACATAGAATAAACGTCATATGTTTGAGAGTTGCAAGACATGAACAAATATGACACACACGTTTTTGTCGGGAAATATGCAAATTTGCTTTTAATTAACATTAAATTAAGACTGTGTGAAAGAGCCATAGGCGGCTCTCGAGCTGCAGTTTGGCCACCCCTGGTATAGCCTGTCCTCACTTGGGTTAAATTCTTTCTTTTATTCCTGGTAGGGACTGACTGACACTAGTCAAGACCTGTAGGTCAGAGAGAGGAAGAAAGAAAGAAAGAGACAGAGACAGGGAGACAGAGAGGGAGAGACAGGGAGAGGGAGAGAGAGGCAGAGAGAATAAATAACAGGTTCTTTGGATTTTCACGTTTGTGTTTTATGATGCCACAGTCATTTTACCTCTTCGAGACCACCTGGAGTTACGAGTGCCACGTAAATACCAATAAAATATGCAGATGACCAATCGTCAGGGATGCGTTCCATCTTCAGGAAAGTTTAAATAGGTGCACATAATCATGACACACACTGAAAAACCAGCTAGGGCCGTATATAAATCTGTCGTTAAGTGAAGCTTGAATAATTCCGTAGCAGGCCTTGGTGATTCACCCAAGCGGCTCACAAATCAAATTTACTGCTTTTTTTAGTTGTGTTATTGAGACACAGGGTTCTATTTTTGGCGTTTTGCACAGCTCAAAGCTGCAAGTCCTGCAGGATCTGTGGGAACACTGAGAAGCTGGGATTGTCAGCTGACAGAGACGGAGGTGGAGGGAGCAATTTAGTTCTCCACACACACCCCATAGTGCCGCTGCTGGGCCCCTGATTTAAGAATGTAAAAGAAGACATGTGGGATCAGGCCAGTGGCCTATCCAGTCCAACACTCTGTGTCACATAGTGGCCAAAACCCAGCTGCCATCAGGAGTCCCACCAGCAGGGCCAGAACTCCAGAAGCCCTCCCACTGCGGCCCCCCCAAGCACCTATAAAACAGAGCATCACTGCCCCAGACAGAGTGTTCCATCTACACCTTCTGACTAATAAACACTGATGGACTATGTGTTTATACATTCCCCTCGACTTATTAAACCAGTTCACGATATTCTGTTCAACGCGTTGAAAGAGGCAATTTACTTACTGTCCACCAGCTCTCGCGTCTGACCCTGGACGTGCAAGTACAGCGGACGGTCTCTGTAAGACACACACATTTCCACTGAATCCCAGGCTCTCTGAGGGAAATCCCTTTCTCTGCCCGCACCCTGAGCTTGTGCAATCTCTTAGCGTTGCATCATGTCATTAAAAAAAGACTGAAGTACAGTATTGTAATGATGTTCAGCAGCTGGGATTTCTTCTCAGAACACAAACGCTTCCTATGAAGGCACTGCAGCTCAGCTGGGAGGATGCGGGCAGAAATTTGCGCCCCCCGGCAAAGTGTCTCGAGTCACAGGACTGTAATCCTGGCTCTCCTCCTGCCTGACCTAAGGCCTGGCTCACACATGCAGGCAAATGAGGAGGAGGAGGAAGGGACTCCACCACTGCAGACTGCGGGGACAGGATTTCCGTTCTGAACGCTCCTGCCCGTACTTATTATTATATGTTATTTACAGTCCACTTTGTTCACTGAGGCTCAAGCAGGATTACGCACAGGGGTCGTTTCATAGAAAAAGAGCTAGGGGAACTCATTAGCATAACTCATTAGCATATGCCACACACCCTGACATCACCGGAAGTGTGTCATAAGGCCACACACCCCGCCCCCAACGGTGCCGGCCGGTGCCGGCTGCCTTGCAGCTCCACTGCCGAGCCCCATAAGGGGCCCGGCGGTGGACCTGCAAGGCCGGCGGGAGTGCAAGGAAGCCCTGCGAAGGCCCTCCCTGGCCCCAGGCAGGCAGGGGTGGGGAGAGGCAGGGAGGAAGCAACTTACCCTCCCTCTTCTCCTGCCTCCTCCTGGCTGAATGAGGGCCGGAAGCGGGGCGGCCAGAAGCAGGGGGCGGGGCTTCATCATGTGCCCCGCCCCCCGTACCTCACCCGGGGGAACTGCGATCCCCCGCGATCCCCCCCCGAAATGACCTCTGATTACGCAGCGTTCCTCAATGCAGTCAACAAGGTGAGACAGCTAATAAGCAATGTAATAGGACTAGAAGTTGGAGGAATCTGAGACAAAGAGAAATCTGAAACTGAGTTATCTGAAGAAGTGAGCAGTGACTTGTGAACACTCATACCCTGCCACAAATCTTGTTAGTCTTTTTTTGTATTTTTTAAAACTGTGTGTGCGCGTGTGCACTTGGAAGTCATGGCGACCTCTGGTGACTGACCCCTGCTGAGGGCCTGGAGGATATTCAGAGAGGTGGCTAAATAAAGCCTGCCCCTGCCTCCCGCCTCTGGTATTCCAAGGAGGTCTCCCATCCAGGTACTTGCCAGAGTCGACCCTGCTTAGCTTCTGAGATCTGATGAGACCGAGCTTGCCTGGACGAGCCAGGTCAGGGCAAATTCTGTCAGTCTTTAAGGTGCTACTGGACTCTTGCTTTTCCCCCACCGACAGACTAATACGGCTACCCACCTTGATCTGAAACAGAGTGCTAAGTTCAACGTGAGATGTTAAACAATGGGACAAAACCTCATGCAAACAGAGCCTGCTGTGCTAGGCATACATTTGTGGGGAGTTTTTAACTTAGCTGAAACACTTTAAACTGTAATCTTCCACCTACAGAGTCTCATTCTCTTGCATGTGTGAATCAGGGCTAAATTAATGGAAAGAGAGCAAAATTTCAAGGTGTGCCAAGATCTGAACAAGAGTTCCAAGAGCGCTGCCGAGGAACTTACAGGGGGAAAAAGCAGGAGGGCCCTCTGCCCATCAAAACACACAGCGATCCTGCCTCATTTGAATAGGGTTTCCTGTGTGGGGTATTCAGAAGAGTAAGCCTCATCTTTATCTGCCCATCCAGGCCAGCTGAGGTCAAATTCTGCCCAAGATCCTGAAAGATCTGCTGCCAGAACAGAGCTGAGGCACCAACGGTATGATTAAATAAAAGGAAGCTGTTTACATTTGGATAGAAGAAGAAGAGTTGGATTTATACCCCTCTGGGGTGTGCAAAAAAAAAAAAATATCGGCCCGATTCGGATTCGGCGGAATTGGGCAGAATTAATTTCGTCCGGCAGAAAGACTCCTGCATGTTAATTTCGGCAGTAGGAGCCATTGGGGAGTCTTTCCGCCAACCAAATGTCAATTTTGGCCCCATTATATCCTATGGGCCATTGAAAATGGCGAAAACATAGGGTATATTCTGGGGGCAGGAGGGGAGGGGGTTTGAGAGAGAGGCTCCAAACTCGCAGGGTAGCTGCTGGAGCCTCTCCCCAAGATACCCACCAAGTTTCAAGAACATTGGACCAGGGGGTCCAATTCTACAGGCGGCAATTTGGCAGCAAGCCGATTCAGATAAGAGAATCTGAATAGGACCGCAGCAGCCTGAAAGGGGCCCAAATGGGCCATTTTGGGGGGTGAATTTGGTTCAGATGAATTGAATGCACATCCCTATACCCTGCCCTTCACTTGGAGTCTCAGAGCAGCTTACAATTTCGTTCCCCTCCCCTCCCCATAACAGACATCCTGTGAGGCAGGTGGGGTTGAGAGAGCTCTGAGAGAACTGGTCTTAAGAGAGAACAGCTCTGAGAGAACTTGTGACTGACCCAAGGTCAACCAGCTGGCTGCAAGTGGAGGAGTGGGGAAATGAACCCGGTTCTCCAGGTTAGATCTGCCGTTCTTAACCACTACTTCAAACTGGCTCGGGGACAAGAGTTTGGTACACACCACCTTAAAAAAACTCTGCCCCACAGAAAGCCAGGTAAGAAAAAGATGGATTTTGGCAACTGCGTAAAGAGCAGCTGCGCAGAAAAACTGAAAGTGACAGAGGCACATACCCAGGTCCGACTTTTGCTTTCTCTTCCGCAGTCATGTACCTGCCACGAGTGGAGACTGCTGCACCGCTCAGCCTGCTGATCTGCAGACAGGAGAAAAACAACAACCCAATTCTGATTACATGAACACAAACAGATCTGCTGGACTCAAAGCCTTTCTACGCCAGCATTCTGCCTCCCCCAAAGGCTCGCTTCCTGGGACTGAAGGCAATAGCAGGCCAAATGCTAATTCTGTTCATTTACGGTGGGATTCACAGGTCACTTTTCAGCCTCTGCTCTTCCCTTTTCCCTTACATTTACACGCTAAAGAATCCCAGAATTGGAAGGGGCTGTAAAGGCCATCTAGTCTAACCCCCTGCTCAGTGCAGAATCAGCCTAGAGCATCCCTGACAAGTCTGTGTCCAGCCGCTGCTTAAAGACTGCCAGGGAGGGGGAGCTCACCACCTCCCCGGGCAGCTGATTCCACTGCTGCACAACTCTGACTGTAAAAGATTCATGATGGAATTCACACCAAGCCCCTATGCCTCATCTCCTTCTTTCCTTGTAATCTTCCCAGCAGGAATTCCCAGTACGATCTTCCCTTCATATATCTGAAGACACAAACTGTGACCCACAAAAGCTCATGTGAAATGAATGCTAGTCTCTGAGGTGCCACTGGACTTTCATTTTGCTACAACAGACTAATGCAGCTACCCCTCCGCAGTCATCCTGAATGCCAGAGAGAGCTAGTTTGGTGTCGTAGTTAAGAGCGGCAGACTCTAATCTGGAGAACTGGATTCCCCACTCCTCTACATGCAGCCAGCTGGGTGACCTTGGGTCAGTCACAGTTCTCTCAGAGCTCTCTCAGCCCCAACTACCTCACAGGGCGTCTGCTGTGGGGAGAAGAAGAGAAGGAGATTGTAAGCTGCTCTGAGACTCTGAGTGAAGGGCGGGATATAATAAATCTAACTCATCTTCATCTTCTTCATAGCCCTCCTCCACAATTTGCAAGCGGTATTCAGAGGTCTCTAACCATGCACGCTCCATTTAACTATCTTATTTATAAGCCACTGATAGCAATTCCATCCTTTCTATCTTCTACAGGGTGACTTGCAGCAAGAAATTAAAACAATGTTGGAGAAAAATAAAACTCCTTTAAAAAGAGCCGGACAGGCTACTTTTGGCACGTCATTCCACCACTCCTGAAAAGATCTCTCACAACCATCCACCAAAACACAGAAGGTGAACCGCAAGAGCCCAGAAGGATCTGGAGAAGTGAGCAGTGATTCACGAAAGCTCATACCTTGGCACAATCTTTTTAGTCTTTAAGGTGCTACGGGACTCTTGCTATTTTCTACTGCTGCACGGCTACCCATCTAGATCGATCCCCAAGGGAGAAGCAACTTGGAAGATTCAAGTGCCCAGGTAGGTATTTAAGGGAAAAGATAATCGCCTCCTGTCCTCCATGTTTTTGTCACACCCTCTTGAAACGCAATCTAGGTTAGTTTGTATGGACAAATCTTGGCACATCGGTAGGTTAAATGGAGCGTGCATGGTTAGAGACCTCTGAATACCGCTTGCAAATTGTGGAGGAGGGCTATGAAGAAGATGAAGATGAGTTAGATTTATTATACCCCGCCCTTCACTCAGAGTCTCAGAGCAGCTTACAATCTGCGTGTTGTGTGAAGAACTGCTTGTTCAGAGGGACATAAGACCAAGGATCTTTTTTTAAAAAATCCAAGATCCTCCACTGAGCAAAGATGATGTCCACAATCTGCATTGGTTAAGCAACTTAAAACGAAATGTGCATGATTTCTCTCATTCTGCATACTATTACATTAGTTTATACTACTTGTCACAGGGAGTACGCCGGGAATGTATGCTTCACCCTGACCACAGCAAATCTGATTCGACAATGCTTGGGCCTTTGAAAGGTTGCAAGCATTCCTTGTGTATTTCCAGGCATATCTCCAAGAACATAATGGACGAGCCACCTGGGATTTCCTTACTTGCCGTTTTCAGTTACAACCAGGATTCCTAGCTCCATGTTCAGAAATATCAGGAGGTTTGAGGGTGGAGCCCGGGAGAGTGAGGTTAGGGAGGGCTGGGGCCTCGGTAGGGTATAATGCCACACAGTCCACTTTCTCAAGCAGACTATGAAGAAGAGGAAGAGAAGAAGAGATTGGATTTATGCCCCGCCCTTCACTACCCAGAGGAGTCTCAGAGCGGCTTACAAACTCCTTCCCCTTCCCCTCCCCACAACAGACACCCTGTGAGGTAGGTGGGGCTGAGAGAGCTCTGACAGAAACTGCTCTTTTTCAGGAACAGCTGTGCCAGAACTACGGCTTGCCCAAGGTCATCCAGCAGCTGCGAGTGGAAGAGTGGGGAATCAACCCGGTTCTCCCAGATTAGAGCCCACGCACTTAACCACTTTGTCAGAAGCAAGAGACCTGGTGCAGAAATTCAGATAACAGCTATTTCGCTCCTACGGACTTGCAGGCCCTCGGCGGTCTCTGGGCTTTTTGAGCCCCTGGGCAACTTTGGGATTCTGACCCAGGGTGGTGGGCACGGCCACCAGATAGCTGCCGTAAGAGGGGGAGGCCAACTGCAACACATGAGGGAGTGGGGTTTGTATAACTCTAATACTAGCTCCTCAACACTTCAGGCATTAGCTCTGTTTAGGAGAAGAAGAGATCAGATTTATACCCGGCCCTTCACTCGAAGTCTCAGAATGGCTTACCATCTCCTTTCCCTTCCCCTCCTCCCCACAACAGACACCCTGTGAGGTAGGCGGGACTGAGAGACCTCTGAGAGAACTGTCCTTGAGAGAACAGCTCTGACAGAACTATGGCTTGCCCAAGGTCATCCAGCAGCTACAAGTGGAGGCATGGGGGATCAAACCCGGTTCTCCCAGATTAAGAGTCCGTGCACTTAACCACTACACCAAACTGGCTTTTAATCTGCACAGGTAATCAAAAGCTCTGGTGAGCCAAATGCCACATCTGGCCCTGCCCACTTGCTGAAAGCACTTGAGAAAACTGGAAAAGGTGTTGGTGGGCAATGTTCCCTCTAAGCTGTGGAGTCTTGTGAGCAAAAATTCTCCTTTGTGAGCTACTGGCATTAAAGTTGTGAGTGAGCGATCTGGCTGCGGCATGAATTAGTTTGCTCTGGAGGTACATATGGATCCACAAGGGTTAAGCTGACTCTAAATATTATGAAAATGCAAAATGTATTCAGGTGTACACATTTTAAAACTTATTCATTAAAAATATACCATTCAGACATAAAAAACTTCTCAACATTCATACATAGATGGGTTAGTGCTGTGCAACTGAACCAAACGCATTTGTGAGTCAGCAATTTGGCTACTGCACAAATTAGTTTGCTCTGGAGCCATCCTTCCTGAGCCAGGACAAAAACGTGTGAGCCGGAGGCTAAAAAACTCTGAGCTAGCTCACACTAACTCAGCTTAGAGGGAACACTGGTGGGCACCATGTTGGGGACCCCTGTCATAGATGCGTGCTTTTAAATTTAATTTAACACACAGGAATGGAAAAAAACAGGAACGGGAAGGCTGTAGCCAAAAATACCCAAAGTATACTCCCATGGAGACGCCAAGTCAAAACATATACAATGCAAGTAAATATTCAGTGTAATAGAAAAATGGTATCCCGATAATGGCAACATTTACAATATAGAAAATATATACAAAATTCCAAATCGGTGTCATGAATCAACATCAAAAAACGTCATCATAATGGAATATATTCTGACAAAATACAACCTCCATATCCATCTAATGCTGACATCAATAATAAGGATGCTACTGAATGTCCATGAATATCACAGGAGGTTCAATGAAGTGACAAAAAAGGTCACTCATCTCTTCTCTTTTCTCAACGGTAATTCAATGGGTAATTCAAACCATTTCGGAGAATACCCTTTATCAAGAGGTACATATCCCTTCCTCCACAGAAGCAATAATTCTAAGGTGCAATGACCAATTTCGGGAAGAACTTGAAGACGGAGCCCAGTCATCTCGAAAGCAATCCCCAAGACAATGGTACAGTATACAGAAGAACTTCATTGACCCTCCTGTGATATTTATGGACACTCCGTAGCGTCCTTATTATTAATGTCAGCATTAGATTGATAGGAATATCGTATTTTGTTAAAATATATTCAACTGCGATTACTTTTTTGATGCTGATTCATGACACCGATTTGGACTTTTTTTTTTTTTTTTAAATATATTTTTATTGTTTTTAACATTTACAACCAAAACAACCGTCAAACAAACCTTATAACTGGTAAACAACAGCGGAAACAACATGCATAGTTCCAAAAATCAATATTTTGTACAGATGCATTAAGGTATTTGTAGTGATTAGTAACATACAAAACTCAATAGCAATTAATATATCGCAAAATCCACATACTTATCTGGCAATTTAAATAATGATTGGGGGTGGTTTGAAATATAATCAAAAAAAGAAAACCATCTATTCAGAAAAACATTATTCTCTGTAGGTGTGTAAACAGCTAATATTTGTTCAGTTATTTTATCTGCAATTATATAGTCCCAGCATTTTTCAATCCATTGCTTGATCGATGGGATCTTGGGTTGGTTCCAGACTTGAGCCAGAAGTGTTTTTGCCGCCGATAGCAAGATTGAAATAAGTTCTTTTTTCTCTGGTGGCATTCCCACCAACAATGTAAGAACGTTCCAGATTTCCCGCAGCCCTTCCAACATAGTGGAGAAGATTTATGTTTGCAAAGAAACAGACGGGTGGGGGTTAGATACCAACGAGAATAAATTTTAAAGGATTGACTCCTAATAGTTAGGTTTTTAGTTCGCATTTGGTAAGATGACCATACGTCA